CGGCGAGGCCCAGGATGGCCACCTGCTCCCGGACCCCGTGCCACCTGCCCTGAAACCCCGGTTTGTTCGTCCGCCCGGGCACACTCCTCCGGACCCCGGAGACACCGTGTCCACCTCTGAGGAAGGAGCGTCGCTGTGAGGAGCGGATGGGGACATCACTGCGGAAAGGCACCGGCTCTGTTAACAGGAACCGGGAACCGTCCTGAGAAGGCACAGGGCTCGAGAACGCTGGGCCGAGGCGGGCGGGGCGGGAGAGGAGCGCCCCGGGCGCCAGGCAACCTTCGGAGATCGGGGATCAATCCGACCCTGGACTGGCGGGAGCACAAGGCTCTGTAAATGCACCGAGGCCTGGAGCTGCTCGCTTGGCACAAGTGAACTTGCGGGTTTGCCAAGGACATGTCACTAAAGCTGTGGAAGAAAAAGCCCCGCTTGCCAATCAGAAGGATGAGCACTAGCCCTGGCCGGGGCGGCTCGGGGGGTCGGTGTGTCCCCTGCGCCAAAAGGTCGCTGGTTCCATTCCCAGTCAGGGCACATGCCCGGGTTGTGTGCTCGATGCCCAGTAGGGGGCGAGCAAGAGGCCGCTGATGGATGATGTTTCTCTCTCTCTCCCTCTCCCTTCCTCTCTCTAAAAATCAGTAAAAATATTTAGATGAAGAAGAAGGAGGAGGAGGAGGAGGAGGAAGAGGAGGAGGAGGAGGAGGAGGGCTAATTAGTGCCACTAGTGGTAACATCAGCCGCCACATTTATTGGGCTCGTTTCAAGGGCCATCCAGCTCAGCCAGCTCCCTGCTTCTTCCCCTCGAGGTGGTGTCCGGCCCCTGGGGACATGGACGTTCACTTGGTGGCTTAGAGGACACGCTGGACTTAGACTCCCAGTTCCACCAAGTTAATTAACCTCCGTCGGTTTTTTTTTTAAATATATATTTTTATTGTTGATAGTATTACAGATGTCTCTTATCTCTCCCCCCTCCCCCCTCTTCCCTCCCTCCAGGTCTTCACCACCCTACTGCCCGTGTCATGGGCTGTGCATGTAAGTATGTAAGTTCTCTGGTTTATCTCTTCTCGTCCCCCTCATCCCCACACCGAGGTATGTCCGTCTGTGCCATGCCTCCCTGCTATGGGTCTTATTTTGTGGGTCAATTCATTTTAGTCATTAGATTCCACAAATAAGTGAGGTCATGGGATATCTGTCTTTCTCAGATTGGCTTATCTCACTGAGTATAGTATTTCCCAGGTCCCTCCATGCTGTCCCAAAGGGTAAGAGATCCCTCTTTTTCACAGCTGCATAGTATTCCACAGTGTAAGTGCTCACAGCTTTTTATCCATCATCTACTATCCATCATTTATCCATCGGGCTGCTTCCAAACCTTCGCTATTGTAAATAACGCTGCTATGGACATAGGGGTGCATATATTCTTTCTGGTTGGTGTTTTGAGGTGTTTTTGTTTGTGTGTTTTTTTGGTTAATCCTCGCCGGAGGATATTTTTCCATTGGTTTTTAGGGAGAGTGGAAGAGAGAGGGAGAGACAGGGAGAAACATGGATGTGAGAGAAACGCACCGATTGGTTGCCTCCCGCACGAGCCCTGACCAGGTCCCGGGCCGGGGAGGAGCCTCAACCAAGGTACGTGTCCTTGACCAGAATCAAACCCGGGACCCTTTGGTCTACAGGCCGACGCTCTATCCACTGAGCCAAACTGGCTAGGGCAGTGCTTTGAGGATTTTAGGATGCATTCCCAGAAGTGGGATCGCTGGGTCAAATGGAAGTTCCTTTTTTTATGTTTTGAGGAAACTCCATGGCGTTTTCCATAGTGCCTGCACCAGTCTGCATTCCCACCAGCCATGAACTAGTGTTCCCTTTTCTCCACATCAGCCGTGGGCAAACTACGGCCTGCGGGCCAGATCCGGCCCATTTGAAATGAATAAAACTAAAAAAAAAAAAAAAAAAAAGACCGTACCCTTTTATGTAATGATGTTTACTTTGAATTTATATTAGTTCACACAAACACTCCATCCATGCTTTTGTTCCGGCCCTCCGGTCCAGTTTAAGAACCCATGTGGCCCTCGAGTCAAAAAGTTTGCCCACCCCTGCTCCACATCCTCGCCAGCTCTTGTTGTTTGTTAGACGAAGAAACCTGCCTCGGTTTCCTCATCTGTAAAATGGGGAGAAGAACAGTCCCACCTACACCGTTGCCTAGCAGATGGAATAAGTGAATATTTATAAAGAGTTCTATGCGAGGAATGCTCTCTAATGTATAAAAATAGTCGCTGGCTCCTGGCTCCTGGCTCAACCTGAGGCCGCAGGGCAGACATCAACAATGAGAGAGAATCATGGATCGGCTGCCTCCTGCACGCCCCCCACTGGGGATCGAGCCCGCAACCCAGGTGTGTGCCCTGACGGGGAACGGAACCGTGACCTCCTGGTTCAAGGTTGACGCTCAACCACTGAGCCACACAGGCTGGGCCAGAAGATGGTTTTCAAAGCACAGGCTGCTGGCCCTGCACCACGGCCCCCAGGGCCCCTGCACCTACCAGCCCAGGGTGTCAGAGAGGAAAGGAACTGTCCGGGGCACCCAGCCCACCCCTCTCACTGTACAGATGGAGAAACTGAGGCACCAGCGCTTTGCAAGGGTTTGGGCTTGGACTTGGGTCTCCAGGCTCCTGGTGGAGTGGGTGGGAGACCCTCAGGCTCCCCTGGCCCCTCCCCCAGAGGGGCGCTGCCATCCCAGAGGGCCGCTGGGCCCGCAGGACAAGGAGGAGGCGCCCGCCGTTCCCCTGGCAGCCTCTGGCCTTCGGGAGCTCACAGCCCCCCCTCATCTGCCCCGCTGAGAGACTCCCCAAAGATGGGGCGCTTGTAGCTAGTGGAGGGGCTCCAAAGGGCCCCCCATCGGCACCTGGCCTGGCCTGGCCTCCCTCGCACCCCAACATCGCCCTGCCCGCCTCCCACCTCCTCAAGGGAGGAGGGAGCTGCCCCTGAAGTCATCTCAGAGCTTTCTGGAAACAGCCCCGCCAAGGCCCGGAGCGAAGGGCTCGGCGCCTGGAGAGAGAGCAACATGCTTTCAGGGTTGAATCACTGTTTTTCTGGACTCCCTTCGGGGACCGGCAGAGCCCACACTCGGCCGCGTGCGTGGACCCGGGACCAGCCACAGCTGCGTTCTAATTGCATGTACAGTGCAGCAAACCTCCCTTTCATCGCAGGCTGCAAATCTGTTACATCTGTCTCTCCTTTGTTTCTTCCACAAGATACAAGCTTGTTCCTACATTTTTCTCACCTGTAGCGGTGATTAAAATTCATTATAAATGAAAGGAGCGAACAGACAAACAAGTTCCTCTGTGTACCGTTCTACACTCAAATTAGAAACAGCTGTTTGCTAATTCATGCAGCGCTGCTTGGTCGTGCTCTGTGAGTCAATAAAAACTCACCCTATTGCTGCGGGAATCGGGGGAGAGTCCACGGAGTTAACTCGGCGTGGGCGTCTCCAGGCGGGACCGCGCTGGCCACCCCTCCGACCGCCGCCGGGGGCCTTGGGTGGCACTCCCGAGATATCCACCATGGCCCTAGGGGGAACCCCAAATTCAGAGCGCCCGGCGCCTTCCCCCCAGACACAGGCCCAGAAGGAACCCCGAAATAGTCTCCTCGTCTCCTCCCCTGTCCCGGAACCACCATCACCACCACCAAAAAGAAAAAAAAATCAACTCTGATTAAACCCAAACCACACACATCCTCCCACCGCCGGAGGGAACAGCAAAATTAAAAGTCTAATTGGCACCCGGAACAACTTAAAACTATTAAGTATAGGTGAGGCTTTCTGTAAGGAAACAATCCTGTGATCGGGATTAAGCTTGTCTGGGCGGCATTCTTCCACTCCCCGCGTTTTGGCCGCAAGTCTTCGCGAAGCTTCTAAGAAGTGTCAGGCGTCTCCACGTGAGGGAACAGATGCGCGGGGTCCAGAGCACGCCCCATGCGAGGCTTGATGGGGAGTGGATGTTCCTGCTCCTTATGGGGAGGGAGGCGAGCAACACTCCTGGGAGCCTCTCCTGCCGTTGCGGCATCATCATACCAAACCTGCTCTGTCCTGGCTGACACGCCTCCGAGACACCGCCTCCAGGAAGCCTTCTTTGATTGCCCCGGCCATTCCTTCTCGACCTCTAGGCCCCACCTTTAGGCCATGCCTCGCCCTGAACCGTGGATCTCGGTACCGCTGTTTATTTCTGAGTCCGTGGGGGAAGCGCTGAGTCCGTGCATCTTTCCGGGCTGGGACACGATGGCACCGAGCCCCGTTTTCAACTTCAGACGGGCAGCCCCTCCCAGCAGCCACCAGCTGCAGCGCCCTCGGTGTGCGCGGGCACAGTGCCAAGTTTGTCACAGACTCAGCCTCGTTCAGGCCTCACCTCCACCCTACCCGGGGCACCATCCTGTCCCCCATGTACAGACTCGGAGAGGGCACGGGCCCCGAGTCCCACAGCAGTTTGTGGAGCGAGTCCGGAATGATCCCATATTTCTCCAAAAAAGCCACCAAAGCCGCCCACTGTTATCAGGGAGCCTGCCTCACCCGGCCCAGCCTCTGAGCCCTTGTTCCGGCCACAGTGACCCCCAACAATGCCCCTTCACGGCCATTGCCCACCCAAACCCAGCCTGGTCCTCGGGCCCAGCTAACCACCCACTGTGCAGATGGGGATACTGAGGCCCTTAAGGCTCAGGGGAGGGACTGGCCCCAAGGCAGAGCCAAGAGGATCTGGCTGCCTGGCTCAGGGAAAATGTCAGTAGGGTTGGGTTTTTGGGGGACCGCCCCCCACACCCACACACACACACCCAGGAGGATGAGAAGACGGGCAGGACACAGACGTGAAAACTGAGAGAGACGACCGAGGGAGAATCATCGGTCACCCAGGCCCCTGCACATGCGGGTCACCCTTCAGGTGTGAGAACTTCCTCCTCCCCGGGCACCTGGGAAGGGGGGAACACTGCCCCCACCCCAGCCCGGGCGAGCGGAGTCCCTGAACGGGAGCCAGGCCCGCAGCTGCCCCTGTCCCTGGCAGGGCCGGTCACCAGCTCCTCCGGCACCTGCACACAGTAGGTCCTTAGCATTTGCCACGAACGAATGAATGAATGAGTGTTTCAGCCAGGCCTCCAGCCAGAGCCGCGCAGGGCGAGGACCCCGCTGCCTGCTGCTCGCCTCCTCGGTCAGCCCACGTCTGAGCAGCTCTGCACCTGTCCCTGCGCGTGGCCTTCCAAGGATGGCGAGAGGGTTTCCCCACAGGGACTCGGGGCTGAGACTCGCCCGGAGACCATGCCGAGTGGCCCCTCGTTTCAGGATCCCTGGGAGCCCCCACCAGGTGCCTGGAGGGAACTCTGCTTGACGAGTCAATAAATGAATGGATGGGTGAACAGGTGCATGTCGGGTCCTGGCCCAGAGGAAACACCTGGCAAGTAGGGCATGAATGCGTGAAGGATGGGATGGCTGGACGGATGGATGGACGGATGGATGGACGGATGGATGGATGGATGGATGGACGGACGGACGGACGGATGGACGGATGGACGACGGATGGATGGATGGATGGATGGACGGATGGGATGGATGGACGGATGGACGGATGGATGGATGGATGGTCGGACAGATGGATGGACGGATGGTCGGACAGATGGATGGACGGATAGATGGATGGATGGAATATTAAAGCCTCGGGGCTTGGTCTAAAGGAGGCGCTTTCTAACTATGGTTTGAACGAATAACTGGATGGATGGATGGATGGATGGATGGACGGATGGACAGATGGACGGATGGATGGATGGATGGATGGACGTATGGACGGACGGATGGACAGATGGATGGATGGACGGATGGATGGATGGATGGATGGACGGACAGACGGACGGACGGACGGACGGATGGATGGATGGATGGACGGATGGACGGATGGATGGTGGGCGGACGGATGGATGGAATGAAAAGCTAGTCCGAAAGAGGTGCTAGGGACCCCTCCGGCAGGTGGGTCTCCAGCTGGAATCAAGGAGTTCCATGAGCTTGACCACTGGCCTGACCGCCTGGGCCCAGAGCGGCCGCCTCCTGCAGAGCCCGTCCAGTGTCTCCGAGGCCCCTGGGGGGCCCGCACATTAAGGCTCCAGTGTGACCGCATTTGTCAATCTTCTTTTTGAAAGAACATCTTGGGCCAAGGAGACAGCAAGGGCGTGTGGGGGCAGAGGGGCAGGGATGGAGGCCTGAGTCCCTGGAGGAATGCATTAGAAGAGACCCTGG